CGCTAGCTTCAATAGTTTACGAGTAATTTGCAAAAAACTGTTTTTTCGTTTTTCGTCAATAACTCGTTAAATATTGATGCTAGCGAAGAATTTTTGTACAGAAATTGTAGATCTCGTCGTCCTCTACAAGAAAAGTCGTATGCAATTTTCCCGTATCTCCAAGGGTTTAGGAGTTATTGAGGAAAAACGAAATTTTGTTCCAAAAGTTCGCCATTTCGACGCTGGGATGGTCGGATTTTGTCAACATCAATAAAATGCCATATAATCATATGTAACTCATTAAATATCGAGGTTAGAAGGAAAACAACTTTCATTTGAAGCATTCTTCGCAATTTTGAAAAAAAAAAATTTTCGTCAGCGTCAATACTTAATTGGATATTTCCTTCTAAACTTTTTAGTACGTAGCTATTTATTATTAGCATTATTCTTTCGACGTCTGATTTCTTTTTAATTATAGGAAATGCGGTTTCCTAAGGTACATAAACTTTTGGGATTGACTGTATAGCCAATACATCCTTAAGTTATGATAAGCACGAATTAAATCTATAATAAAAGCGCATAACAATCGTCTGCAACGGACACAAGGTTTGACCCCAGGATTCCTCGCGAGTTCGTGACTACTTTTCTTTCGTGTTATTCAAATGGGGGAAGAAAGAAAGGGTAGATCTCGTACAAGGAAGGATGGTATCGGACCAGTCCAATCGGCTGTGTATATCTAATGCGCCTGTGAGGTCCTCGTCATACCATGGCTGCCGTTCGCACACCTGATCCTGCTCCCTACGGTATTCATTCCCCAGCAGGTGTGTTTAATCTCCAGTCTTGTTTAATTAATAAACATATTTGGTACCTGAGATTCAGTTATGATAGAAAATTGGTAACAATTGTAGTAGAGAAATACTTAAGTACTCTTTCATCGTTGTTTCATTTGAAAATGTGGCTCGTTAACTATATGTGTTAATTTGGTATTAAATACATAATGTATTCGTTCATTGTATTGTAATTACCTCTTCCTTTTTTGCGGCATATGATAATGATACTTCCTGGTATCATAAAATTGATCATATCTACAAATGTTCTATTTTGCACAAGGAGTCTCTATTAATATATTTTCTTCGCAATGATTCTGTCAATAAATGACGAACTGAATGAAGTTTATTGAATCATAAGGAAGCTTACTGACATTTCCAATTAGACACAAGCCAGCATAATGTAATTTCTGTCGGATCCGCGAATGGTTTAAGCAAAGTTCGTTACGTAGGTACAGGTATGGAATAATTTTTTGCACGGTTTCGTTGGATGTCGGAGGAAATCGAGCGTGGCGAGTCGATTTCCTCGCGATCGTGGCCGCAGGCCATTAAAACGGCCGTACTCTTAGGAGACTCTGGACGTTATCCACATGCCGGTACTCGCCGCGACGATAGTATCTGCGGCATGGGCAGCGGTCTAGAACTCGTGCTCCTTTCCTCGTAGCCTAGGCGTGGTACATGACGAACAACCGTGAACCGAGCTCATGGTACACGTGCGTATATACTTATCCGCCAATGGAACCGGTCTACCGGCGATCAAAAAACCGGCCGATACTCCCGTAAGCGTTGACCAGCATGAATATTCGCTAGAACACAATCGGGAATTCCATTAAACGGTTCGTGTTTCTCTGATAACCAACGAATCGGTTCTTAAACTTTAGAAGGTTTATTATTATTATACTGCGAATTGATTATTTCTATATTGCGATTTAGGTTTATTATCCTGTTATCCAAATTCTCAAAATAGACAAGCATATTTAACACTAGATTGCCCAAGGACGTCATTTTGACTGACTTTGGGCAAATGTACAAATAATAATGCATAAATTATTTTTATTTACAATGCAGTCATTTTGACTGCTTTGGGCAATATAGGTATATACTAAGTTTCAGTCTTTCTAGTGTTAATCTCGTAAAAATAAGAACAGGAATTTATTTGTTCGTTAGGTGTATATAAATTGTAATCAGAAATCCGGAGATCTGTGATTTGTTTGAAACGAGGAACCGGCGGATATCGATGGCGTAATGGATCGCAATCTCGAAAGTGATGTAGTAGTAATAATCGATCAGTGCCGATCGATCAAACGTCTCGCGAATGATCGATCACGAATCTATGTATATACTTTTTTTTAATGTTGGATTAACGAGACGTGCTTGTTGGTTTTTTCTGTTGCAGCAAAAAGTGAAATTCTGGTTCGCGACTGGCGGCGCCGGATTCTGCATCAGCCGAGCACTCGCATTGAAAATGACTCCTGTCGCTGGGTAAGTCATTCGTTCTTTGATTTATTAGTTTAACCCTTTCACTGACCGATATAATAATTTTCAATAAACATTATTAGGAAATGCATTTGATTCGAATTATAAAACATGTGTGAATGGAACTCGGAAATACAATCTGGATATAATTTCAATGAATCATTGCGCTCAGCTTCTCATATTTCATACATTTTTAAACATTTACAAACATGTCCATTTAAAGTTTCAATTAATCATCGAGCAATGCACTCAGCTCCTGATATTCATGACAGTATATTTTTAAACACTACGTACATATTTTATATTTTATACTCTCTGTATATTGAATTTTCTCGTAAATGCATAAAAAGTTGAAGTCTGTTCGTAAGACAGAAGTATCAAAGGCGAACGAAGCGGGTTGTCGTTGTAAATAATGATTGACGAGGGTTTGCGACATAAACGTCTCCGCTCGAATTGCTCCTCGAGACGAACTTATTGATAATAACGCGGATAGCGACGTCGCGATCAACCATTCTGATTGCTCGTCGTTGCCCGATTAAGCGGAATGACTCGATGCGGATTCGAGCCTCGACTACTTTAATCGAATCGTTTTAGAAATACCAGCTAGGTAATTGATGCCTCGCATCAGTCGTTAAGTTTCATGCTCGTTCAATGTCCGCTCGGTTGAGCATACGAAGAATGAATTCAATTTTACGTCTTTTCCTTGAAACATAACAGCTCACCTAATATTTACAATTCTATAGAAAGTACCTTGTATAGTGAGAGTAAGTAAGAATAGTTATATAAAATGATTAATAATTCTTTGATGATAATATGAGTCAGATAGAAATACGATTTCAAAGGCATTGAATCTATTTGAATGGTATATCATGTATTATGAAAACATTTTTGCAATCCGTAGTTTTTATAGAGAATGAGACTGGCGCATAGCCAGCTGGGAGGGCTTTCGTTTGTTCGTTCTTGTCGACGGTAACACAAGGTCCTGGCATTATCCTGGCTCCTGTACATCGTTCCCCTCGTGTCGCGACACATCCTCCTGCAGAGCTAGGTAGAACCGTGCAAGTGCATCGAACTGCTTTCTCATTCAGGGACGTTGCCACCGTTCCCTTTCTCCTTTCCTGTCTCTTTCTTTTTTATTTACTCGCTGATCGCTTCAATCGGAACAGCTTCCGATACATTCATTCTTTCTTTTTTAACTGTACCCCGTTCCCCAAAGTTCTTCAAGTCGCAATTAACAGCAATTTATTGCAACGAGCAATTTAATGTATTTCGTATCCAGTCGAATTTCTTTTAAGTAAAACATTTTTTGTTGCTGTTTTAACGAAAGGTAACTTCATTATCTAATTTCATTTCTGTCATTCGTTTCTTCTCTCTCATTTTTGTTTTCGAGCAGGGACGATGAAATATATCTAATGAAGTACTGCAGTTCGTTTTGTGGGGTGGAATGTTCGGTTGTTTGAGTTTGAGAAGCAAGAAACTGGCTTGCATCGAAGTTATTTTCGAGCCGACTGTTATTTACGACTTTCGGTGGTAGTAACGGTGCATCGAGAACCTCGTAACTGTCGATGATTTTTCATTAACGTCTCTGCCATCCACGTCTCGTTAATAGCCAAATAAATCACCTTTACTGGTTCGAAGAACCAACCGTGCTACTTCAACAATGTCACGTCGAATTACCTCCTTATTAACTTTGTCTCTCCTCCGATTTGTTCCATCATTTTGTTCTCCATTACGATTTTACCATCGTCTTGATTATTTGTGATTTTTCACCAATGAAACATGATTCTAACTTGGCGATCTCTGCACTTTTTTGTAGAGTAAAATGAACTATTTTCATTGTTCATAGTTTTCCGAGGGAACTAAAAGTTCTCACTATTATCATGAAACAGCGATTGAATTTGATGAAGTTTTTGAGTTGTACGATTGAATTGATCACGACGGAACAATTCTGATCTCCTTGAAAGGGTAAGATCGATCAGTGGCGTCGAGATGCCGCGATAAAGAGGAATCTCATTGGATTTTTCCGTTTTATTGGCTGTCCATTGGGACTGGTTCTACTGGATCTCGTCGAGATGGGTCTTAATTAACGACGAACGCGACAAGTACGCTCACAATGGTCCCGGCGCGGACCTGATTGCCACCCACGTGCACGCGTTCGCCTAGCGCAGCAGGAACTCGTATTTTGCATACATTTACCATCATTTCCTCGTTACACCGGTTCGATAACCATCTGATTCTATTACGTTTCTTTATTTTTCTGTTGAAAACGAGTTTAATTAATGTGCAAATGTAGCCGATTAGTGTCCCAGATGCTCTCTTTGGGAGAAAGTATTGCTGTTCAGAGGAAAAGTGAAACTTCGACATTGATTCTAGCAAATGAAATTACCAAATACTATCATTGCCTCTTTCTTTGAAAATTATGTTCTGATTATTCATGATCGTGTGGTCAGGCTTTCTTTCATTGAATTTTTGTACAATTTTTAATATTCATGTACGAAATGAAAATTGCAGAAGCAAAGCAAATTTCTGATGTAAAAACTTAAAATCGAGAAAAGTGAATTTCACTACGACGATCAATCAAAATTTCTATTGGCAATCTTGGTGAAAAAACGATGATGAAGAATCTTAGCAATTCGCTGGAAAATTGAGTTTCCTTCGATGAACGGGGTAAGGGGAGGGTTTCGCACGATCGAATCGATTCGGAAATACGCCGGGCCATCAGAGCCAGCAGGTATAGAGCGCGCGAGTGATCTATAGATCCGATCCAGCGGCCACGTATACGTAGGAATGCCCAAATTGGTTTCGCTGGCCGCGGGTTTGTAGACGTTACAGGCCGCGATCGCGCGGTGGAATCCAATTAGGCGAGCAATAATGGAATCAAAGAGATCCTCCGGACTCGCTTTCAACCCTCTCTACTCCCACTCCCCCTGCCCTTCTCGGTCCCGTCATCGTTCTTTACGTGCGATTTCGAAAACTCGTTTATTTCTCATCGTCAAACGTTCTGTCCGACCGAAATTTTACCAGGTTTACTACTGCGATCTTATTAAATAAATCATAGAGTTACAAATACATATATAATAAATCCTGAACAATTTCAAATAAATTGCACTTTGAATTCACAAATATAAAAAATCCTCAAGAAATGATTTTAACGAGAAATGAAGCTTCTTTAAACTTACGTTTTTTTTATTTTAATTTATGGGTGAGGGAATACATAATAAAGTTCACAGTTAGGTTCTGATAATTATTGTAGCGAGCTCGAAGGGATTAGGATCTAAGGCGATGAAACTTTGATGCTCTGATGACTAGAATATTCCCATGCACCGAGCATCGTGAAAACTCCGAAGTTTTTCACGCCTCGTGTCGTCGCGGTGATAAACGGAAACGTAAAAAAAATAACTGGGGGCAAAAACGCTGTCTTCACTGTTCGAAAGGGAGTCGAACGACTTGATCGATGGACTACTTCCACATTTCCCTTCCTGTTCAAGCGAAATAGAAATAACAATTTTTTTAGATCGCAGTAGATTATTAAAAAGAAAACGAAAGAGGATTAACATCAAAACCTTTGATATATCTTTTTTATTACAATTTTTTTGTAAAAAATTCTTCTCGTAGTTGTAATGGTAAAATGTTAGGAAATATGATTCTTGAAGGATTGATAGAGACGTTTCAGGGCCGTTGGGTACACGTCTCAATCGGATCACGAGTGTGCGATCGATAAGGATCCATCGACTCGTCCTTCCAAGGATCGGAAACGATCTTGGCTGGACGAATGAAGTGGCGATACGTGGCCGATAGTTTCATCCGGTCGCGAGATCGCGAGATCGATACGGTCAATCTCCCAAGACAAGCTTCGTGCCTCCTTTCCGTTTATCCTTTCACTCGTTTGCCAGTCGCCGTTCAATTGGCCAATATCAAACAGCGATAGAAATTCTGTGTTCCTTTTAATAAAATTACATTTTCCGTTTATAAATAGAATCTCCTGCGGGTGGTTTGTAACACATAAATCTGTTATATTCATCAGTTTCGAAAAATTGTGTGAAATCGTTTCAACGAAATTGCCAATTAAGTGGAACTTTGAGGGTCATTGGTAAGGAATGCTTGAGAAACAGAGGGAAAAACGTCTGAAGACAACGGAATAAAAAGGGAACGAAGAAGAGGACGTCGTCGTGGTATCAGTGAAATCTGTCCTCGGTTATTTAGCACCGGACGAAGACGGAAAGCGATTCGATTCCGGGGCTCGGGCTCCGGCGGTGTAACCCCGAAATTTCGATTTCGGGGCCCAGTGGTATTTTAACGAGGCCGATATTCCGTGTCGGCGGTGCCGAAAGGACGCACGAGACAACGCGCTCGGTCACGGGTAGACAGAAAAAGGCCCGAAAAGCGACGCGACGCGAGGGCCCGGGGTACGCGATTTCGGGACTAATCTGGCCAATTAAAAAGAACCGCGGCGTCGTATTCGAGAATTCGCCGATGGTATTCGCTAATGAGTTCCCTTCTCTTTCGCTCTTCCTTCGGCTCTTTTTCCCGCATTCCCTCTCTTTCTCTCTCCTCGTCCGACTCGACTTCTGGAAAACGTTAATTAGACACTTTTGCTTACGTGGCCAAAGGGTCGGGCCCGCTAATTGGCGTTAGCGACGATTTTCGTTTGGATAATATCGGGGACCCAAGCGTGAGAAATTTGTCGGCGCGGTTAAGAAATTGTTTACAAAAGATACGTTCGATCTACGGGACGGAACAAGAGGGAGACGTCTTATGGTGACCAGACGGGGAATGATAACAAATGGGGAATGGGGATTCACTTCGAGAGGACACAGTGTTTCGTGAAATCGTTCCCACCGTTTCAAATAATCATCAAATTATACCAGTCGAGTTTTCACCTGAAATTATCATAATTGCATAGAAAAAAGGGCATCTAACATCAATCATCGTAGGCTTCAATTCTTCAAATTCCACAAACGAACCAAAGATTAAATTCTATTCGAGAACTCGTCTCTTTCTCAAGTTTGTCGAAACATTCGGAATTTGATTTGAAGTAAGTGGTGGGACGGTGAGTCACCTGTCAGGTTAAAGGTAAAGGTTTGATCGAGCAACGAGGGCGAGAAGAGGCTTGATTCGCGGCGGACATAAATCGTGCCAATTAGAGCGGCGACCGGTAGTCGGTTCCACGGTATCCGTTCTACGTAGTATATATCGCGGCACCTCCTCTTCCCTCCGCTGGTCCGGGTGACCACGCGAGAGAACATCGACGGACAAATGTCTCAAAGGCTCGCCGCCGCCACCCCTATCGTAGATTTGTCCGACTCTCCTTGAAAAGAGGATAAATCGACGGGGAAGGTAAGGGGGCGAACCTTACAACCTACACCTTTTCTATCCCGGTTACCATGTACCTTTCACATCAGTGTTTGGCTAGATGTATTTCGAGTTAGGAGGTTTCCACTGTTGATCAATTAATTCACGTGTTGTTAATTATACAGAGAAATAAATAGAGAATATTATATCATATGATTTTATTATATTCATTATAATATCTCATCTTAAACCTGAAACGTTAATGTCTTCATTCATCATCTTTCATAATGTGTATAAACGATATTTATTTCTTATTTACATGTTTAATTACATACTGTAAAATCGTTTTGTGAAAGGGAACGGTTGAAATGTTTTCTTTTTCCAATTAGAGATACATGCTTGGATATTATAAAAGGCATAATTTGTAAAATGGAATTGCATACGTGGGGGAAAATAATATTGAAATCAGATAATGAGAAAGTAACGAGGGGCCGTTTAATTGTCGGGACGGTTAATTTACCGGCATTCCGGGCATGTAGATTAGCTGGGCCGCGTGTGCACCTGCTCGGTTCACCACGACCTGTCGTCGTGCTCGTCCCACCTCGAAAACTGGTTAGCCGCATTAAACCGAGTCGCCGCGCATTTATTAAGGTGGCCCGTACGGTATCTCTCCTTAACGAATTTCCATCGATTACGCGTTAATTCGACCTATTAATCGAACTATCTCTCTCTCTTTCTATCTTTTTCTGAGAGCCCTGACGCGTGGCTAACGCGTTGCGATACGCCTCGACGAGCTTGAAATTATTTTCCACGCCGCGTTCGAACCGTCTCGTTTCATCACGGAAGAATTAATTTACTACTTTCTTTCAAAACTGAACGACGGTAGCATGATGATCGTAAAAACCGTTTCAGTTAGCTGAATTTTCGCCTGCCACCTTACATGAATCATTAAATTTATCCTCATAAAAATAGAATTTTAAGACATCGACTTCGTTAATCATTCAACAGACAGTCCTTCAATTATAATAAATCTCTTGATAATAATAAATTGTTTTAATTATTAAACATTACAAGAAACATTATACAATAAATATTGTACAAAATTCTTTACATTTTTTATGAGTACATTTTCTCATGAAGGCATAAAAATCTATAGATTAATAATAATAAAGATTTTCTTTATCAAGCAGAATCTCTGAAAAATGTAGTTGATTGAGCCATCATTTACATCGTTATCGTAATCCAGTCTTGATATCAGTAACCAATTAATATAGATTCGAAATAATTCCGGTTGTTGGTGGTATCATTAAATCAGACTATCATAACCATGCTAATAACCATGAATAATAACTGCTGGTCATAACGCTCGCGTTTCTCGGACACCCAAGTTGGACACGCGAGCTGCTGGGGATCATACAAACACGGAATTTATCGTCGTTCGGTTTCTCCGACTGGTTTCCGCTCTTATTTTCGCTACGGCCACCCTACGCGCGGTAATAAACAGCGGATAATCCTAGAACGAGGTGGGTGCGGTCAGGATGAAAAAGGGAAAAGTGTCCCATGTCGTGATTCATGGTGATTTAGGAATTGGCAATTTTATTTGAAATGATATACGCGAGATGCCAACGGCTCGCCTCTTGAGGAAGTTAGTCAGGTCTTAAATATACAGGAATTAGAAAATGTGTGTGTATTCTTATTTACATACGTCTAATAGAAATTTACATAGCATTCATATTAATCATATTCTTTTCGGAGTCAATGACAAATGCATTTTAATATTCGTGCAAATCCGTATTATTAAAGTTTATTCACGATTATTATTAGATCAATGTAATTACAATGGATTTCGTGACTAACAAGAGTCGTTTACGTTTACTTGCAGAGGTGGGAAGTTTATCACAGTGGGTGACAGAATTAGGTTGCCCGATGACGTGACTATGGGATACATCATCGAGTATCTGTTGAAAAAGCAGCTCACTGTTGTCGAGCAGTTTCATTCCCATTTGGAGCCCATGAAGTTCCTCAACAAGGACACTTTCAGCGAGCAGGTAATAATTAAAATTCATTTTTCCCTGTGACAATTTTATTAGACCAAAGAGATAGGAGCTATTTAAGATTTAGAAAATGATTAATAAAATTCTGATCTATCTTGATTCTTTTGCTGAAATCGCAACTTCTCTCACATCCGTTAAACCAATCAACCTTTACGATCTACTAACGCAATGATTAATTGATCCGGTACGAGGGATTAAAAAGAAAAGAGTAATAGGGTGGGGAGGGAATTAAGATTGTACGGGTCGCAGTGTGAAGTCTAATCACGGGTAATAGAATAATCCCTGGTGGTGAATCACCCGCGGTCGCTCGGCCTTTTCCTCAGCTCGAACAATGACCATTGATTCAATCGTCGCGTTTCTTCGTTCCAAAATTACACGACCTTTAGAACCGACTTAACTCTAGGACAGGTGGTCATATTGTTACACATTCTTGTTACGTTTTCCAAGTTTTCTTGGTCCAAAAATTAATGTCCAACATAGGGATCAATCATAATAATCAACTATTCAGTTTTTAAATTAAGAATTTAATATTAAAATTATTTGAAGTTCTATTCAGGCCTCCTATATAAAATCTTGGAAATTATTATACATTATTTTTAATCATAAATCAGAATGTTTTACACAGATTACTTTTGAATAGATATTAATATATTTATTACGTAGATCGAAATTCAAAGTTTGAGAGGAAGTCGGTTCTAAATGTTCCATTGCTCGGGTCGCATAATTTATCGAACAAATATTTTATGATAGTGCTCGTGGGCAGAACTTGATCAGGCTTTCTCGCGTTTCACGCGACCGTGAGTAAAATTTTGCGATATGTATCGTGTTCCTCTTTGCGCCATATCTAGGTTTGCAATTTTTTAACGTTTGTGGTCATGTGGTCGTGGTTCGCGTGTTCCAGGTGTCGTTCAGTTACTCCAAGGGGCCGAGAGACGAGTGGAACATTTTGAAGATCGACGGCTTTGACATGAAGGACGATCCAAAAAGGTGTGTGGCAATTTTTAAATATGCTTCGACTGCAAATTTTATGCAAGATAAAACATACATGATATCCGGCTGAAAAATGCATATCTGTTACATATCTAATGGCAGTTTTTAATTTTACTTCTTGACTTTGGATTTTTACACGAAATTATAC